CATTTCTTCGGGACGGTTTAGGTCCTACCGGACCGTCCAAAGACAAAAGCTTCATCGATGGACCCGGACTGTCGGGTCCATGCGATGTGTCGTCGTGACGTTGGCTCCTCCCTCTCCACTACACAAGTTGCTTTGTTATTATTCATGAAATTAAGAAGAAATCATTCACTGAAATATCTGGACCCAACTATTTTATTCTTTATTATATGAATATCAAAAGATTGAGGAAACCAATTTCCATATTGTGAATTAGACTGGCAGGTGATTACTTCACAATTTTTGTCATGGGAGAGTCAGAGTTAAGCTAGATAAAATGAAAACTTTTTCTATTCTAGTATTCTGCTCCTACTATACTATGGATAAATAAATGCTTATGAGAGGTTCCTAATTGAGATAAACAAATAATACCATCTTATCTTACCAGCAACTGACGTTAAAAAACCATAACCCTTTTCATACTAGACCTAATCTATATTAAAAAAATAATGGTCATTAATATATTTATCTTCTATAAATTTGTCAAGTAAGTGTTTAGGACTGTCCATGTTGGTGAAACTTATTAAATTTTCTAGAATTAAATTCTAGAGTATAGCTATATACTTCATTATGTAAAAACAAATCCAAATGTTATTTGTTCTGAAAATATTATGAGAAAGGGTGGGAGATTCTTTTCATATTATACACAATACATGTCCTACATGCTTTTCTTGTACTTTCCTTGCATCTAATTCTATTCTGCAACATTTCTGGTTCTGTGTTAATCTTTTTCAATAGCAATGGTTAGTGCATCAGTATGATTAAAAACTATTACAAAACTGGCAGATTTGATTTTTATTCTTTTCCTAAAGATATGCAGTAATACATCTAGCAATAGCAGTTCGACTTATATACCGCTTCATAGGGCTTTCAGCCCTCTCTAAGCGGTTTACAGAGTCAGCATATCGCCCCCACAGTCTGGGTCCTCATTTTACCCACCTCGGAAGGATGGAAGGCTGAGTCAACCCTGAGCCGGTGAGATTTGAACCGCCGAACTGCAGATAACAGTCAGCTGAAGTGGCTGCAGTATAGCACTCTAACCACTGCGCCACCTTGGTTCTTCTGTTTTTATAGCAGTTGCCCCTGGAATATTTGCAACCTCCAAACTGTATTCCTTGCCAATTACTACATATCCCAAGAAATAAATATATTACACACACACACACACACACACACACACACACACACACACACACACACACACGCTAGAATGCAGTATTGCAGGCTAACTCTGCCCACAGCCTGAAGTTCGATCCTAGTTGACTTAGATTTTTATCCTTTGAGGTTGGTAAAATGAGGACCCAGATAGTTGGGAGCAATATGTTAAAACTGCTCAGAAATGCTGTAATGCACTATGTAGTGGTATATAAGTTTAAGTGCTATTTCTATTTATATATAATCTTCTGCCATGGATACAAGTTGTTAAGTAAGTATTAAAACCATTTTCTTTATTTAGGACGCAGACATTTAGATATGGTGAAAATATTTTATTTGTTACCTGATCCTGAGAAATTCTCTAAAGACCCGTCTGTTGTTGTAGTAGCAATTTCACTGCTGCTCATTGGCTCTGTTTTAACTAAAAAAAGAAAAGAAACCACAAATAACATTTGCTCTATATACCCTATTATTTGTGCACAAACCCATGCATACATGCAAAACACGTATATACTGTAAGCATCCAGTGGGATCATATACAAAAATGCAACACATCACAAATCTCAACAAGTGCATTTATAGAATACAACTCGGGAGTGCTTAAGTTAAAAATAAATAATTTATTAATAACCCGTTAAATGATATATTATTTTTCTAAGTAAATATCTAGTGATGAAATAAAAGATTTTCTCAAATCTGAACAATATTAATAAATCCATCCAGTTGTATATTTTTATTTTTCATCCTTTTAATTTCTTTGCCATGTTTTTACCATATTGAAGATATATTACATTGTAATTAAAAACCAGACTACTTTAATTCTTTATATGCTGCAAGCTTCTTATTATATGCTCCCTCAATGAATACAAGCAATTTCATACTATTTGTCAATTCAATATTATCTACACTGATCAACAGGTGCTTTTAAGGATTTCAGACAAGAACCTTCTCTATTCTATGAGGTGAAAGCATAAGTTAAAAAAGGGACCTTGAAAGATTAGAAAAACTCCAAAGTCCCTTCCAACTGTTCTGTTCTATTTTTTTTTTCATATGGTATAATTTTATAAAGAATTGGCGGAAAAGTCTGGAGGCATCTGGGCTTCCCTCAGCATCGTAAGCAGTACCCATCATTTTCCATATCTACTGGGAAAATGTTGCTGTTAGTTGCAAAATTGTGTCTGACCCATCGCAACCTCATGGACAATGTTCCTCCAGGCCTTCCTGTCCTCTACCATCCTCTGGAGTCCATTTAAACTCAGGCCTACTGCTTCAGTGATTCTATTCAGCCACCTCATTCTCTGTCATCCCATTCTTCTTTTACCCTCAATCTGTTCCTCTCTGGGACAATAAAGTGCTCTAAATGGAAAAAGCATGTGGATGACCTGGTACACGTGTGTGTATTGTGCATGCAGAGGTGCATATTTTCATCAGACTTGGGCCCAGTTCCATAATGTTCATGAGCAGCCTAGCCAATCCTTGACTTCACTGTAACTCCAGCATGCTACATTCCTTGTTTAGATGAACCATGATGAAGGCAATAATGGCAATTAAATACGGTCTAGAAATTCTCCATGGCCCAGTGTCAAAAGGAGGCCACACTTCCAAACATTTCTATTCTATTCTTTATTCCTGTTTTAAAGTTCTGCTAATTGTAGAGTAGCATGACAGGACAAGCTCATTTATTTAGTTATTAAAACTAAAATACATTAAAACATAGATGTTGTCATTATCTTACATTAAACATTGTTGCACATATAGATAAAATATACAAAAAAGCCAATTGAATAGTTAACACAGTATATGTTATCAATGTGGAATATAATAAATCAGTATAATGGTAAGAATTTGTAAAGATGCCTTTTTTAAAGAGAAAATATATAGTTACTTTCTTTGTACCTAAGTAATGTTAACTATAGTTATCTTTCTGTCCTTTTTGAGTTACTAAAGTATATAGAATGAAATATCCTATTTCTACTGGCTGGTTAGAAAATGTTTTATTCAATCCTGAGGAATTGTTTTTATAGCTTTATTGACTGTCAAGGACCCAAATCCTTATGGGAACTGACAAACAAAGCCAATTACAGTAAGAATTTAACTTATTTAGAAGAGTTTTCCTCCATCATATTGCATGATATGATAAAAGTTCTTTTATAGGCTTCAAGCATCTATAAAATATTAAACAATTTGCACTGTTTTTTGATAGTACACAATGTAGAAGAAACAGTAGTTACTTTATTTCTACAAATGCCAAACTGAGCAAAGAAAGTGAAGAAAACAGAATATAACACTTTACTTTGTAAAATATGAAGCTGGGCTTTTCTATAGTCAACTTTTCCTACTATTAAGGAAAGCCTTAATCACCAAACATCATAAAGGCAAATGGGGGAAAAATCAAATTCAATTAAATAAACACAATATACATGTATACATTATTGCTTTCATAGATTGTTTGGCATACACAAGCATTAAGAAGCAGAGAAAAATTGTTTTGCTGCACATAACAATTGCTGCAATTAAAAGTATACAGTATGATACAGGAGTAAGAGCTTGGAAGAATTTTCTATAAAGTTTGGCAGCAAAATGACATATACTCAAAGCAGTCTCAAGAGTTAAAACAGAAATATATTGTAAGTTGTTTCAACATTCATTCTTTATTTTAAAGAAAAATATGCTTTGGAATGCAGCAAATGTGTACAAAAACCACTTGTACCACATTTAAAAAACTCCACTATTTGAGCAAATGGAAACCTTATTCAATCACTGCAGGAATTTTGCCTAGCTTTGACTATATTTTCCCTATATTGCCAATTATTCCCCTTTTCAAATCTAACATGATCTTAAATATGATATACCCTTTATCTTAATTTTATCCCTTTTATCCTGATCTTGTTACAACAGTTACTACATCAGACACTTACAAACACACACACAAACAAACATTTGATAAAGATCAAGCTATGTTGTATGCTAATTATATATTCAAAAGTTTTCTTAAGCAAACAGGATCTAAATCAGACTAGGGTCAGAGCAAATACACTGCAGACATAATTTCCTCCAGAATAAGATACTTTAATACAAAATAAAATGCTCCTTTCCCCAGAACAAACTGTCAAGCATAATTTCTGCTTGTTTTTAAGATATATGTGTGGCTTAATCTAAATCTAGACTATCATATACAAGAGGTGCATAAAAATGGAAGTCATATGAAGATTGGGCACATGCTACACAATGATGTAACACATAGTTAAACACCAAGATAGCAACCAGATGTCTTTAAAGCAAGTGTGTGGGTGAGTTCTATATGTAGCCACCTAAAAAGTCATGCAAGTTATTTTATGAAAAAGGAAAATTTTATCCAAGGCACATTTGTTACATTTATTTCACAATACAGAATTCTATAAATATAGTAAAATATATAGAATTTGTTTTGGAATTATACACACTTACAAAATGTACAGCTACCTTCTTTTGAGTGCCAATATGTAAAGTAATGTAATGACAAATTTGAGATCCTTCCTTCCTTCCTTCCTTCCTTCCTTCCTTCCTTCCTTCCTTCCTTCCTTCTTTCCTTTGCCTGTATTTTTCCTTCCTTCTCCCAATATTAACAAATAGACTTATAGAGACATAGCAAATAATGAAGAACTAGGCAAGCAAAATTAGCTATTTTAGATTTGAATNATATATATATATATATATGTCAAATTCTTTTTGCACTTAAAAAAATGTAAATTCTGTTAGCTGCATAAATAACATTTTTGCTTATCCCTCTGTAACAAGGAAACCTGTTGCCATTTTCCACTTTCACTCACCATATGATGGGATTCCATAGTGTTGACCAGGCTGTGGGTATGTTGAATAAGCAGAAGCTTGCTGCATTCCGGTGGTAAACTGTGTCTGCCCATATGCAGCCATAGTTTGTGAAGAAGGGGTAGGGAGAATATGTGGGTATGGTCTGCTGTTACATGCAAAATGATAGAAAATAGAAAAAATATTTGCATTAAAAGAATAGCATGACATATTGGTAAAAGTGCATGGCACAATATAAACATTTTAGTGATATGAAAGTACATTAATATAGTTCTATTATTTTGAAGTTTATTCTTTTGCAACAGGAAACTGTTTTTAATTACAATTTAACAGATTGAATTAATAACAGTGGTAAAAATCTGGGTATAACTTTTCTTCTTTTCTCTCTTTACAGTAAAAATTTCTTACTTGGAAGGATATATCTGAGGAGGGGAAAACGTGTGAGTTTGTCTTGGACTGAAGCCACTGCTCCCAATTGCTGTGGGGAAGGGGAGAAAAAGCACATGGAAGTGTAAGCACAAACACAGAACATATCTAACCTAAATATTAAGAAATTTAACAATAGTTATTAAACTAATGTCAAGTAATAATTTATTAAAGTCAGACTAGCACAATGACTCCCTGTATTTTAATTACAAATCACATTTTTTCAATTGCTCCTAAGGGATCATTCATAACTTTTACTTCCTTGGCTGTATTAATGTTGAAGTTATTTTTTTTTTCTTTCAACTTCGGCCTCCTTAATATTTTACATTTTATATGAGTGATATTTCAATCAGAAGCTAATGATCTTTAACTAACAACCTATATTCCTCTTTCTCCCTCACACACTAAAAACTGAAATTAAACACTTATTCATGTAAATAAATTATATCTTTAAAATCTTGACTTCAACAAATTTATACAACTCAGATGTTCTTTATATCACTGCAGATTCGTAATCCATTACTATAAACCAAAGCTGAGGAATATTTTTCACCTAAGGGCCATGTTTGTTGTGTTTAATCTTCTTCAGATGGATCATAGAACTGATCAGTCAGGGTTCCCATTCAAAGCACAAATGACTAGGTTCAAATTACTTTATTTTAGGCACAATATATGAGACTCAGTTCTCCTAGCATGTCTGTAATGCTGTGAAAGGATAGAGAAGATGATGATAACCAGCAGCAGGATAGGTGCAATTGATTAGACCAGCAAAGAGCACACCTCTGGAAAACCTGAAGGGTTTGGCTGGGGACATATCATCCTGGTGAAATACATACATCTATGTATTTACTGACACCAGCTTGGTAGCACACACTCAAAAAATTTTTGAATCACAAATAGGCAGCACTGGTTTTTATATAAACAGATTGGCACACAGTGCAGAAATTCTTATAGAGGACTGGACAGCAACAAAATAACACAATTTTTTAAAAGTGCAAATTAAGTTATGAATATAGCAGTATTTCAATTTCCTATATCTTCTGTCTAGCTTTTGAGATAGAAAGAAAGTGGATGAATTAAATTCCAAAGCAGGATCTCTATTCATACTTTGCTGGTTTACTACCAAGTAACTAATGAATTAGAAGCCTAGCGAACAGTATTTGAGGTTTTTCATTTCTATTGCACACTATTTGACAGTAGCCTCCCAGGATAACAATGTTTCTTTTCAACAACATGTAAATATCTAAATATTAAACATGAGTCCAGTCTCTACACATTTTCTACTGAAATACAGAAAGATATGCAGACTATCAAGAAGCTACACATATTATCTTTAAAGAAAGTTCAGTGCCAAAAGAATCTTAAAATGTAGAATAGTCAGATTGAAAAGATGTAAACAATATATTTTCAAAGGAAGATTACCGTCTTTTCCCAAAAATAAACAGGGTCTTATTTTATTTTGCCCCACGAAATATGGCCTTGGGCTTATTATAGGGGGAGGGCTTATTATTTTCTGGGGCAGGTGAGAAGTGACACGTGCCTTTTACCTTTCCAGCTCTGTTGCGTTCCTCGCCATTGTGTCCAGGGAAGCTGCTGGTAAAAAAAAATCCCCTTCTCGCGAGTTCACTCAAACTTCTTGAACTCGCAAGAAGGGTTTTTTTACCAGGGGCTTCCCTGGACACAATGGTGAGGACCACGATGGACTGGAAAGGTAAGAGGTGCACCTCACAGCCCAACACTGCCCACCTCACCCCAATGGTAAAGGCAGCCTGACTGGTTCCCTTCCCCACCATCCGTTTAGCAAGAGGTGGCAGGTGGGGGGGGGGAGAAGCAAGGCACGTCTCTTACCTGTTCAGCCCTGCTGTTTCCTCGCTATTGTGTCCAGGGAAGCCGCTGGTAAAAAAGAAATCCTTCTCGCGAGTTCTATCAAATTTCTTGAACTCACAAGGAGGGGTGTTTTTTTTTACCAGGGGATTCCCTGGACACAATGGTGAGGACCGCGATGGAACTGGAAAGTTAAGAGGCCTGCCTCGCAGCCCAAAACCTCCCACCCTGCCCCCAATAGTAACGGCTGCCTGCTTGCTTCCCTTCCCCGACGTCCCTTTAAAAGGCAAGGGGTAGGGGGAAGCGAGGCGTGTGTCCTAGCGCTACTGGAGGCTGACAGCTCCGCTGCATTCCTTCTTTCATACAGCGATGCCTCTTGTAAAAAAAAACCTGAGTTCAACTGGTGAGGTTTTTTTTACAAGGGGCTTCCCTGGACAAAACAGCAAGGAATGCAGTGGAGGTGTGCCAGGGCATCGTGAGGCTGGGAGACATGCAATTGGGGAGCAGAACAGCTGCCTGGCAAACCCCCTCTTCAGCTGGACACAATGCCGCTCACCGACCTAGCAGTATCCCAAAGGCGCCAAGCAACACGAGGGCCTTTGCCCCCCCGGTTCCCATGGCTTGGCACCTTCGGGATACCGCTAAATTGGTGAGTGGCGCTCTGCCTGGCCAGAGGGGGCTGTTTTCCAGGGGGCTTATTTTCAGGAGGGTTATATTTTTGCCCACCTGAAAAATGTGGCATGGCCTTTCAGGGCATGTCGGGAAAACACAGTACTTAAAGAGCCGAGGTGGCGCAGTGGTTAAATGCAGCACTGCAGGCTACTTCAGCTGACTGCAGTTCTGCAGTTCTGCTGTTCAAATCTCACCGGCTCAGGGTTGACTCAGCCTTCCATCCTTCCGAGGTGGGTAAAATGACGACCCGGATTGTTGTTGGGGGCAATATGCTGATTCTGTAAACCGCTTAGAGAGGGCTGAAAGCCCTATGAAGCGGTATATAAATCTAACTGCTATTGCTATTGCTATTGCTATAACTCCAAAAATATGCAGAGGCAGCAGACTACACAAGTTGTTTTTTTTTCTATAATTTTTTTATTAGTTTTATTACAGAAAAAACACAAAAAGAAAAGCATCATCTTTCATTACATCTTGTAGAAAGTGT